GCAGACACGCAGACACGCAGACACGCAGACACGCAGACACGCAGACACGCAGACACGCAGACACGCAGACACGCAGACACGCAGCAGCAACAGGCCTGCACCACCACCACTGACCTCTCTGCCCCACAGGTGCCGACATCATCATCACCTACTACACCCCCCAGCTGCTCAGCTGGCTGAAGGAGATGTGACCTGCTGGCAGGCTGCCCTGCTCCTCTGCTCCTCCCCGGCGACAGAGGGACGGACACGTCTCTGGACACCGGGCTGGGCAACCTGCATGGGTGGGGACCAGCGGGAGGAATCCTTCCCGAGACTAACACTAGCATCCAGACAATCGACTGTAGAAACTAACCCCCTGTCTTGTTAGCTGCAGAACTAGTGTGGCTTGAGTCATGTGTGTGTCATGTGGGAGGCTGTGTGCTGAATGGACATGGATCCTAACTGCAGCGGTGCCTTGAATGTCAGAAATAAAATCAGAGCTTGTCGGAGAGACGGAGTCTCTGTTCTTCGTTCTCCTCGGGGAGCTGCAGGTGAGAGCCAGTGGGGTCTCAGCCCTGGAGGGGCACCAGGGAGGGACTTTAAATAGAGCTCCAGACTCTGCCTTTCACCTCTTCCATCAATGTCACAACTTAGAACAGTTGTTTTGTTTTCTTTCTCTTTGTTTATTTGAGTTTTTTAAGAGCGAGCTTTGGGCTTTTTCACAGCCAGCTTCCTGAGGCCAGTAACAGTCCCGGAGACAGACTGAGTAACAGATCACACAGGCAGCCGCACTGAAGAATGCAGAGTGATTACAGCACAGATGAGCTCGGAGTGTTTCTTGAAAGAAGCCAGACATGATGTAGCCAGATTGAGCCAGACGATAGTTGTGCTGTGAGCACAGACACGCAGAGAGTGAAACGCTTGGAAACGCAGCCTTGAGAGAGAGGCTGACAGCCCACAGCCCCTCTCCTCTCTCTCTCGAGTCCAGAGGCTCAGCAGCAGGTGATCCCCATCAGCGAAATAGCAGCTTCCTGCAGACAGACAAGACAGCAGACAATGGGCACAGGCTGACACTAAGCACAGCAGGCAGGCTGATCTCGGAGTGCTGGTACACACAGATAGTCATCATCCCTCTTAGAGCTGCAGATCAGCTTGTTCTGCCGGTGGAGCTCCGTGACAGCGGGACCGGTCACATCCCCATTGTTAAACCTACTTCCTCATGCTGTGTGAACACTGTGCACAGGAGGCAGCTGCCGGGAGTCTGCTGGGTTACCTGATCCTGTCACTGGAGCTGCCTCTCGCTGGCTCGGTGTGGCAGTGCTGCTGGGGTGTGTGAGCGTGCCAGCTCTGCTTGCAGTGCAGGTTGGGAGGGTGGGGAAGAACAGGGGCCTGGAGTTTGTGATGCAGCTACAATCGCCTGTCTAGCTGTGTCAGTGCTGTCAGCCCAGTGATCTGTCCCTGATGCTCTGCAGAAGCTGTCATTAATTGTGAATTATAAAATTCTTCTTAAGAATGTCTGGATTTCCAAAGCTCAAAGACAACACACACCACTTCAGACAAACAAATAAAAACTAACAGAAAGAGAGTGCGAGCTGAAGCTGAGGCGGGAAAACAATCTTTTAGCTGAGCATCTTTTACTGCACATCATTCCAGGATGCTTTACAATAAAATAAAATTAACATCCCTTGCCAATGTAGTGTAATCGTCTGTTGTCCTCACACTATATTTGTGCCATGTGCATTTCAGCATTATACATGCCCATCTGCAGCAGGCCCTATATCATGTGCTAGCACCAACCCGCAGATACAGTGCGTTTGTGCTGAGAGCTCGGACGCCTGCGCACTGCCTCTCTGTCAGAGCCGCACTCGAACAGGGCCCAGGCTCAGCGGTGCAGTGAGTGGACTCACCATATGAACCTGAAGAACCTCTGCAGGAGGGAAGGACGGGTGGGCGTGGCCACGGGCCCTGTCCTGTTCCTATAGGCTGCAGCCGAGACCGTTTCCATGGAGGTTGGGGGCGTGGTCCAGACTGCAGTCCGTGAGGGCAGCTCCTCCTCCAGCCACGGCTGCTCGATCACCCCCTCGCACGTGTGGCACTGCGCAACGCCGGCCCCGGGTCCGAACGGGGCGTACAGCGTGAGGGCGCCACAGGCCGGGCAGGCAGGGTCCTCGGGGTCCACGAAGGCCAGCGGCCCCATGTCACCCTGGCGCCCCCCCCACACGCGGGAGTTGATGGGCAGCGCCCCCACGCCGGTCCAGGGGTCCACAGGGTTCAGCTGGCGGCATATGGGACAGGGCAGCGCGTCGCCACTCCGTGCCCTCAGCTCCTGCAGGCATCCTTGGCAGAATGTGTGCAGGCAGGTGGGGAGCATTCTGGGAAGGGCGTGGCCATAGACGCCGAACTCCTCCAGGCAGATGCTGCAGCGGTCGGCGGCCCCGGGACCCGGGGCTGGGGCCTGGGACATGGCGGCTGCGGGAGAGAGAGAGAGGGGAGGCCGACGTCACTCGCTCAGCTCCTGCCAGCCCGTGGGGCCGGGTACTCACCAACGCCAGCCTGTCGGGTATAAAGAGCACGCTCCTCGCCAACGCGCCTGTGTGATTCGTGCCCCCTCCACGGCCCGCTCTCTGTTCCCCTCAGGCTGGAGAACCTGGAGCGTCACCTGCAGACACCCTCCCCTCGAACTAGAGCTGAGGGACCCAGTGCTGTTAAAGCTACCGAGACGCAGGGACACCAGCAGGACACAGGCCTCCCAGCTGATGAAACTAGAACTCACCGAGTGGACGAGAAGGAAATGCAGATGCTGGGAAGCTAAGAGCTTGGCTCGAGCCTCCCCCGTTCCTCTGCTGAAGCTGAAGCCTGTAGTCACCGTCCCGCGGGCGCTGGAGGTGCCTGGGCCAGTCGCAGCGCCTGTCGTGCTCGTCGGCCCTCTGTCCTCCTCGGCAGCCCGTGTTCCTGTCTCCGTGGACCTGAATGTGCGCAGCTCACCCAGGCTGGGAGTCGTATACCTGCTTCATGAAGAATTCAGGAGAGGGGCTGGGCTGCCTGTGGGTTTCAGTTTCCCGGAGACCAAGCAGGAGCCTGGGGGGGTATCTGTGTACCTGGGTGAACCTGTGCTTACCTGGGTGCACATTTGTGTGTGCTTTGCAAACGAGCCATTTACTGTATAGTTATGTGAGATGGCCTGCATGCCTCTCTGTGATTGTGTTTGCATGAGTGAGTGTGTGACAAATCAGACACAATGCTGCACAAATGGGGCTCAGTTCAGGCCAGTGTGTGATGCTCCAGTTCCTGAGAGTTTATGAGGACTAACTGTGTGACATTCATTCAAGCTGAATTCAAACAGAGCGTCTTGGTGCAGTTCAGCCTTCTTAAAGGTCTGATTGAGTGATTGTCATCCAATTGGAAACCTGCATATAATCAAATTGATTATTCAAATCAATTAAATATTCAAATGATAATTGATACTGATAATTCAGAATGATAAATCTTCCATGTTCAGCTTTGAAAGACTCGAACTTTCTAACTGACTTGTCTGCTTCAGTACGTAAGACCCTAATGAGCTCGTGTTAAGAAAAGCAGCGTTAAGCCCAAAGGAACAAGTAATAGGTTTATTCCATGCTGAAAAGAGAAGAAAGGAAACGCAACGTTTGGCCGAAACGTTTTGTTTTCTTTCTTCTCTTTTCAGCATGGAATAAACCTATTACTTGTTCCTTTGTAGCCTACGCATGCTGACGCAGCTCCCCACCTGAACTATTAAGCTCAAATGTCAGAGCGGGCGCTGTGGGTTTGGACTGCCTGCCCTCGGATGTCCACCAGAGGGCGCAGCAGAGCGGTAATTATCCCGCCGTGAGCGAGTCTTCTGTTGTGTTTGGTCAGGTGCACGTCATTTGACTTGATTGGGGTAGATCAAGTCTATCACAGGTGTTAATAATTATACTGCAACTTCACTGACTCTAGTTCACGAACCCACTTTGAGTCTTCGTTTTAGAGTATAAGAATTACTTTAAAAATTCCGCTGTGAAAGAAATTATATTAAACAACGTATCAGGAAGTACTGGGTGTCTTAAACCCATTTTTATAATACTTCTAACATCCGGCAGTTGTGTGACGAAATTTACTCCGTTTATTTTTATTATTGATAATCTGGTAAAATAATATAATTTGCACGGTATATTCTCTTCTACAGCAGCAGGGACTCCAGCTAGCCTCAGCCAATGCGGTTATTCGCGCGTACTGTGGCGTGGGTAAATCTCATTAGTACTCATGCGTCCCTCCCCCTCCTCAGGACAGGACCTATAACTCTCCACAGATACTCCCTCGGCCAGGCTGAGGGACCTGGAGTTTCCAAACCAGAATTCATGATGGGGGGGGGGATTTATTCGATGCAACTCTACCCTCTGCTAACTGACAGCTGGGGTTTCACTGCTGGTTGAAGGCTCCCAGGCTTCTGCCTCGCTCTGGTTCTGTAACTGCTGCGGGCTCACCTCTCCTGCCCAGCGCAGCCCGTGTTCACACCTTGGTAACGGTGTTAAGCCGTCTCACTCAGCAGTGCAGCAGTCCCCTGCAAAGCAATAGACGTCAGAGAGAGGCAGACCTCAGGACCGGCATGCTGCTGTGTTGTATCTGTTCATTTCTGATTGAGCCACTGAGGGGGTGGAGGCCAACCACAAGACTCAAATAGTGTCACTTAAGATGGTTGCAGCCTCTGTTCTCAGAGGATGACATGAAAAACAGAACCTAGAGGAGGTCAGATCCTGCTGTTGAACACGCCAGTCCAGCCACTGTTAGATAGACAGTTTTCAGGCTTTACGGGCTGGTCTGCACTGAAAAGATGTGCAGATAGCTGAGCAAGCCAGCTGGAGTCAGGGGCTGTGGTCATTCTGTCCTCATATTTACAACACTGCATATTTTTAACGCTTTGAGAACAGACACTGATATAAATCTGTCATATCGGTCACAATCTGACTTCACTAATCTGGTGTTTCCAAAGAACCACAGAGCATAAATGATTGCAACACTTTTTGACTTCTGGGTAGAAGAATCACCCGCAAGGCCCAGCTTCCTGTGAAGGACTTTAGCTGTCTCCCACAGCCCCACTGGGCCTCGCCTATCTGGCAGCTCTTCATTCCTAATCAATAACTCGCTGGTGCAGCAGCCTGTCCAGGGAGCGGGGCTTGTTGTGAGGAGCAGGCGGCTGCTGGCTGGGCTCCTGGAGGCTCCCTGTTCAATCTCCTGCCGCTGAGCAGCCAAGAGCAGAGCCTGGCCTGCCTCTCACCCTGACAGGAGCACGAAAACACCCAAAGGAAGGAGGACAGAACAGGAGTTCATACATAAAATACATTTATTGGATAATTCCCTTTTTTCATATCTCATTCTTTCAGTCTCTGCAGCTTCTCCACAGGCTATTTTCCAGTGTTATGAAAGAGAGAGCTCTGTCAGTCCGGGGGCACGGGGCACGGGGCTCGGGAGGCTACATGATGGCGCAGGAAGACAGCGGGTTGCCCAGCTGGCAGGTGCAGGCGGACTGGCAGTACTGGCGCACGGTCTGGTAGCAGCTGCGGTCCGAGTCGCCACCCCACTGCACGGGGTTGGGGGGCCCCAGGCCCCCCTCGGCGGGCAGCCGGCTCAGGATGCTGGTGTTGACCGCCAGCGCCGCCAGGCCGTAGTCGGTGAAGAGCACAGTCTCCCGGCGGCAGGTGGGGCAGGAGATGAACTTGTACTTGGGGCAGGACTCGTACAGGATCTGCAGGCACTCCTCGCACACCGAGTGCAGGCAGGACAGGATGCGGGGGCGCTTGCCCGTGAAGTTGTAGGTGTGGCCGCAGGTGGGGCACTCCAGCGGCTCGCAGGGCGCGGCGGCGGCCGAGCGCAGCACGTACTGGTTCACGATCACGTCCTCCACCTTGCAGTGGTACTGGTTGTGGTAGCACAGCTCGGCGGCGCTGGCCTTGCGCGGAGCCAGGTACCCCCTCTCCCTGCGGGACGGCGGCGGCGGCGGGGGCACCAAGGGGGGGGCGCTCACCCCGTCCAGGCCGATGTCGCTGCAGGCCTGGTTCACGATCACCTCCCCCTCCCCCCCCCAGGCCACCCTCGGGGAGGGGGCGTAGCGAGGCTGGGGGGCGGGGCACTCGTGTGGGAACTTCTCCGATTGGATGATCTTGACAGTGTCCATGGGGATAGACACGGTCTGGCGGCGCAGGCAGGACATGCGCTCGACTGGGGGGAAGGTCACACAGCGGAGGAGCGGGGCGCTGGGGTTCAGCTCAGCTCTGGGGCTCCTCTGTCCTCAGGAGTCTGGGCGCTACGCGGATGTCTTGGGGTGTCCCTGTTGCTGGCCTTCAGCCATTCGATGGAATTCGGGGTCTGATGGCACTGTCCATGTTCCCTTCGGATCCCGGTGCGAGGCCCAGCAGGCCCTCCTGGAGGGTCCAGAGAGCTGGGCGGCTCTCCGTCAGGAGGTCAATCAGCCTGGGCCCAGTGGGTGGGGAGCAGGATGGCTGTTATTGCAGGTCCCTTTGGTTAAGAGGCTGTGATATGGCAGATGGTGCTGTTACACTAGGCTCAGTGTCGCCAGTCGAGCAGCCAGCGGTCTCGCTTCTTCAGAGAAACCAATGGACTGCTTACAGCACAGTAACAGACAAGTAGTGAGATGATGACGCCTATCAGATGTTCACAGGTTTAGCAGGATGATATGTTCTGGATATTTACAAGAATAAATAATGACACACGAACATACTGACGTACAGGTAGAACTTGAACTCTGTTGACAGCTTTGTGTCCTGGAGCAGGAACGTTCTTAACTGCTAAATCCTTTGGCCCTGAGTGGCAGCGAGATCCCAGTACTGATGGCTCCTGACTGACTCTGTCAGGGTGCAGGGAGACTTGTTCCAATCAGCCCACAGCTGTCTCTCACAGGAGTAAAAGGGAATCAGAACTCATCTCAGGCAGGTGCAACAGCTTCTTCATGAACTTTGAGATTCATGAGAACACAAAAATGTGTTGCTCTTTCCTAATTCAGCTCCAGTGTTAGATACAGAAAGCCTGGACAGGACAGCTGTTAACAAGCCAGACAGTGTGCTGACTGTATGGACACAAGACTCCTAATGTCTGGCGTCTGTTCCTGGCTCTAGAGTCTTGACGGAGGTCCGATATTCCACATTTTAAGGAAGATGCTCTCTGCACTGGTACAACCTGGGGTCTCCTGGCTTCTCAGGGATTAGTGCAATAGGATCAGATGAGCAGAGAGACGGGATCTTGTCGGAGGTTGGGATGCAGATTCAGCTCTTGAAGTGCCTCTGGTTCGCGTGAAGAGGTGGGGTTTGCTGGCCTCTGGGAGGCAGATGTGACTTGCGGTTTGTAGGTGTGTTGTGTTGTTTCTGAGCTGTAAGACTGCCGGCTATGTCCTCTCAGACCCGCTCCCTTAGCACTCAGTCACATGGCTGCCAGCGTCCTCCCCCTCGGCCTCCCCTTGAGCCATAGGCGGCCCCAGTGCTGCCGGCCGGCTGCGGAGATCTGCTGCCTCCTCGGGGCTGGAAGTGTTTCAGATCCTTCGGTGCCAACAGCCCCTGGAAAAACAGAAAGTGCATTCCAGCATTATTCAAGCATTGGAATACCAATCAGTGCTAAATCTCATCTCAGCCCACTTGTTACTATTTGATTTAAGATAGAATGAAAGTAATCCTGATTAATGAAGAGTGTATCAACACATCTAGCTGGACAGCCATTAGACAAGATCAAACCACATTTCACATTCAGGCTTGTTTGTTTCTAAGTTAAACCCACTTACTTATCAGTTCCTATGAAGGAAAGAAATGCCCTGATAAATATGTCCGAACACTCAGTACCTTGACAGAGTGTGTGACGGCCCTGCCTTCACCGACTCCCACCAGAAAGAGCTGCCACTGATGGGCCAGTTGGCACCTGCAGCAGAAACAGCAACATGACCGTACCATTCTGCCCAGCCCAGGGGGGGGGGGAGGCATCAGAAAATAAAGCAGGCTGGTACCATTACTACCACATGGAGGGGGAGGCTGGGGAGATGCTACTGTCAGCACAAACTGTCCCAGCCATTCATGCACAGCCAATTACCCGGGCTTCTTGCTGTCTTTGCAAAATCCATTTTAAGCTCTGTTTTGTCATCAAATTAAAAATGGCAACTCATAAAAATAAACAAAGTCTCCATTCTTCCTGCTGTCCATTCTTTTAATGATAGATTATACAACATGATTACAAGTAAAATAAGCTCCAGGATTAATTTACTGCTGCTCTGGACAGCGAAAGGCTTTGACAGTAGAGCACTTCCTTCCTGTCACATCTGCAGAGCGCTCGCACTGCCTCTCCAGCCCGGACTGGAGCAACACCTCCACAGCTCACAGCTGTCACGTCAGCGCCGCCGCCGCCCGCCACTCATACTAATTCCCCCTTTGTGCTCATCCGAGCCTCTCTGCCTGACAGGCCCAGGGCTCCCTGCTCTGTGCTGCAGCCATTTTCAGCTCAGAACAGCAAGGCTGCCTCAGTGATGCCTACTTATTCATTTACCGCTACGTCTATCTCACACCCTCCAGAGAGCCCTGTGGTTAATTACCCAGCCTAAAACAACGGCACAAGGACAACCCCAGACCTAGCAAGCTTTATTCATTCACTGCCATTTCATGATGAAGCTCAGTCTCACCCCCAGCAGACAGCCCAGTGACCACAGCTGGGACCTGGCAGGTCTGCTTTCTCAGAGCCTGGGCAGGGTGTCACTCCAGCCTCCAGCATCTGGCCAGCTGCTGGCTTCTCCTGCCCAGATTAGACTTTAACACCCTCCATCTTGTCTCACAGGGCTGAGGTCTGAGGTCAATCCGGATCAGCTCTCTGGTACAGCTCGCTTACTGGTCGTGCAGTTTAATACTGGTACCGGTACTGGTAACGACAGATCCAAAGAACAACACAAGGGCTGCCTCCTGAGGCAAAGGTCTGGCATCTGACGTCTCCAGCAGCACAGCTTCGCCCCTCGGCTCTGCATTCCAGCACTTTCCTTCCCCCTGACCTCGCCAGGGCTCTGCCACCTGCAGTGCCCCGCGGCTGGCCCTCCCCCTCCCTCCGCCCCCATGTGAGGCCTCTCACCCCCGTGCCCCCGGGCCCCCGGGCCCCCGAGGCGCTCCCTCACGCCGCAGTGCCAGTCTCGGTGGGTCCTGTCCTTGTCCCTCAGGGTGTCCCGAGCCGGTCAGGGGGCTGCAGCGAGGAAGTGCTCCCAGCGAGCCCAGCAGCGCCCAGCCTCCAGCCTGGCGATGTGTGGCCCCTTCCGGCCGGAGGGGACGGGAGAGGAGGGGGCCCGCGGCCCCAGACAGTGCCGGGTCGGACCCTGGCTCCAGAAGGAAAGCAGGAACAGGTCGGAGAACCTCTCTTCGTTGTGCAGCGTGAAGCTTGCTTCCGATTCACTCGGAGAATTCCACCCTCCTCTTGATCTGTCCCTCCTCCTTCCTTGGATGTTTATTCCTGGCTTTCCCTGCCTGCTGTTTCCTGAGCGGCTCTCTGCTCTGTGTGTCTGTACCTGTCTGTCCCGAGCGGAGCAGTGCTCTCCTTCCGCTGTATCCCCAGCCTCTCTGGCGGTGCTGTAATCTCTCTTGCTGCCTCCCTTCAGCTGTCATGCGGTCCCGACCATCCCTCTGCCCTCCATTGTGCTAATAATTCCTCTGCCGTGCAGCTCCAGCTCTGCCCATTGCTCTCCTCCGCGCTGCGTCTCTGTCCTTGCCTCCTCCTGCTGCTCTGGATGCTCTCCTGCTCGCTCTCTCTCTCTGCAGTCCGCGCTGCAGTGCCGCTGCAGACGGAATCACGTTTTTCATCACCAGTGAAAATCTCCAGCCAACGAGGACTGTGCCTCCCCCAGCCCCCACACTGAGTGCGACAGGCCTCTTTAACCCTGCGCGCGCCGGAGCGTCTTCACGGAGCTCTGCTCAGCTGGCAGCCTTCACAGCCCCCCACACAGAGAAGACTGGAGCTTTTCACAGGCCTGACATTTCAATCATCTGCTTCACGTGGCCCAACTCAACCTATAAGTGCAATTTTTGTGGAATTTTGTACTGGACGCAGTTCAAACTGAATTTGTTTTGTGAAATTACCAGGGGAGCAGAAGACATGGCTGGCAGCAGCAGAGAATATTGCTCCATTACAGCTGATCGGCAGCTCTGTTGCAGGAAATTGACACATCTATTGCTCTATTGCTCTGAGGAATGATTTTTTGAAAAGCAAGACCCTGCAGTTCCCACCTGAGTGCCCTGGGCCGCTCCACTGGTGTCTGCTGTCTTTGTGCTCAGGGTCTTGGAGGATTGGGAATTCTTGTATCACGATCCCTGTATGTGGTCTTCTCTTTTCAAGACTGAAGAGATTCATTCATTTCACCCTGTCCATACAGGACTGGGAATGTAGCTATTTGCTCTTTTTTGGACTGATTCCAGAGCAGCGTGGTGACCAAACAATATTCCCAATGAGGTCTGACATACACTATACACGGTGCACAATATCCCTTGAGTTGAATTCTGCATGTTTAACTACTGTATATATCCTAACATTCTGTTCCTTTTTATTGCTTTTAATGTCTAGATTTATTTGATCTAGATGATCAACACATGTGCACATAAACTCATGTCATTTTCTAATGTAGCTTCTTCAAGTTCAGAAACATTCAATAAACAAGCTCAGTTGTTTGCAGTCTTATTTTTGCACTCAAATTTTACAATCCCCGTTTGTTTGCCTTAATTGTCACCTGCCTAAGTCCTGAATTTTGTCTAAAACATTTGGAATTTTCTTAGCTGATTTTACAGTGGTTGCTAATCTTATTTTTATATCCTTTGGAAACACTACTTCAGTAACTAAACCAGTGTCTAGATATTAATTCGGAAGAGCAGTGGTCCTGATACAGATCTCTGTGGTACTCCTGTAATTACAACAACCCAGTTTGAGTATTCACCCCTTATCTGTATTCTCTATTTTCTATTCATTAACCAGTTCTCATTCCAAGCACACACTTTATCACGAATGACAGAGATATGAGTCTCTGACTGGTTACAGTTCTGAGAGCTGAAAGCATCACACTGCATCTTGAGAGCTGCCAAGGAAACAAATAGTATCAATTCATTCTGTGCCGTGTAATTTGGTCAGTTGAATGTTCATCTCTAAAACACTAACCACAATGATACAGCACTTGTTCAGTTCCCTATTGTTAGAGCAGGTGTCCTGGAGCTAGGCTGCAGTGTGAAAGCTCCTGACTGTGGCCAGCTGAGTTCTGGACACTGTAGCTCGTGTTCAGAGATTGTAGCAGCACTCTCTGGAGAGTGCAGAGACACACCCAGCCAGGCAGGGGGCTAAGCACTGAGAAACAGAGCAGCTGTGATTGAGATCCATATATCTGTCATGCTGACGAGAGAATTAGATTGTAGCTCTGTTGTTGCTAGATTTAGAATCACACATTTGAACAAAAAAGGACATCCAAGCTCCCCTGAGAAACGGAAGTGTGTAGGAGCATGCTACCCATGGAAAAATTGTTTTGGTGTCAATCCATTTTTACGTCTTTGATGCCGTTTTCAAAGAGCAGATTGCTGTCATTTCAGAACAAACAAAAAAAAAGGCATCGTTTTAGTCATCTCCAAATCAAGTTGACTTGATGGGTCTTTGAAAAACTGACAACTGCATGTGTTCTTATTTCCTTCTCTCTCATGCAGGAGGACAGAGCGCAGCAGTGAAGCTCTGCTCCTCCAGCACACTGGTGGGTGTGCAGAACAATAAGTCAGCCTTTGTCGTCATGGATGATTCACTGCGATCTGTCAAGAAACAGCTCGGTGAAGATCTCCCTCACTGGAGAGGAAGCTGTAACACAAAGACAGCCTTTACACTGAAGATAATAGTAATGGTGAAAACGACCATAAAAGGTTTTGTCAGCTTCAGCAGGCACCCAGAGTGCTGTGCAGGAGAGCCTACAGGTGACAGTGGGATGGCTGTTATCCCAGAGTGCTGTGCAGAAGACCCTACAGGTGACAGTGGGATGAAACACACTGTAAGTCATACCTTTCATCACAAACTGCCAAATCAAGAACAATCACATAACCGTGCACTTCATTATTGTTATTGAAACACTTTATATATGTTATTGCAAACAGCACAGGACAGCCTGTGAAAACTCTTACCTGCCCTGCAAGCTGGACTGGTCTCCCTGCCTGCTCCTCTCTGTCTTTTCTTCTGGAGCAGTTAGCTCTCTGATGTGCTCCCCTCGCTGCCTCAGGTCAGACAGAAGCAGACTCTCTCTCTGGTGTTCATGAGCCTAACAGACGTTGTTAGTGAAGTCTTTCACATCTCTGCTGCCCTCAGCGAGCTCTGTGGCTCATTGTGAGCAGACTGTGGGCTGCACTTCCTTCCTCTCTCTCTCACTCTCTTGCTTACCTCCGACCTGCACACAATTCCCTCCTCTGCGTCCTCGGCCTGGGACGAGGACAACCAGTCAGCGTGGGCTCAGTCCCTGGAGTACGCAGACCTGGTACTGCTCTGTGCTGGCTGTGTTAAATGACTGTAAGGATGTGGTCCTATGTGTGAGGGGAGGGGCAGATCCCTGCCAATGACAATGAGCATGCTATGCGCACAACTTTCCTTAACATTTTTTGGCTCATTTATTTGTTTTATTACTGTAACAGGGGGTTCCAGGATGTCTGTATTTATATGTTTATAGTTGAAGAAAAGACAAAAAAGGGTGAAACTGGTGCTTCTAGTTTGTTTCAGGTTGATTTCAATTTTTTTCACTTGAAATGTTCATCACATCAGTTGGCTCATCATCTACCTCATCATCATTTTGTGTCCAGATGGTACAGGACATAAACATCAGCATGCCTGTGTCTGATAATGAGGCTATTGCAAGAAGACTATACCTGGCTTACAGCAACTGCTTCCTGGCCTGAGCTGAGGTGAAGGCAGTTTCAGGCAGTGCAGTGCTGAGCTCAGGGGAGGCAGTGCACAGTGTGTCTGCCTGTTCCAGGTACAGCCCTGGGAAAACACTACAGCGTGATTCCGGACTCCACATCCGCCCCGGGGCCTGGGAGGATACTGAACTACCTCTGCCCCCGCCCGGGGCCCAGTCAGGGGGGCAGGGCTCCCCAGTGCACTGACAGGCACCTGAGCCCGCACCAGCCTGGCCGAGACCACCGACCTCCTCCAGTGCCACGCTAACCCGCCTCTGGCAGGGAAGGGGTGCAGAGGGCAGGGGAGCGGACTGCTGGAATTCAGGGAGGCAAGCCTGGCAGCAGACGCCCACACTCTCACGCATTCCAAACACCCTCACCTTCCACACATAGACCGCACACACACGGGCACACGCCACACTCCCTGCTCTATCACACACACACAGCTGGGACACATCACTTATTCCCTCCCTAACGTTCTTCACACACTCTTCCGACCTCCGGGATTTTCTTTTAATTACAGAAATGGAAGAGGGAAATAAACTTTTCTTTGCACGTGTGAAGCGCTGTATCCATCCCTCTGGAAAGAGCTTCTGTGTGCGTTACTGTCCAGAGCAAAGTCAGGCCTGTGAGGGCAGGTGAGAGGAGCTGAATCACAGCTGAAGAAAAGATGCCCTCAGGGAAACGTTATTGAATTATTCTGGACTCTGCAGGATACAGAGAAAATAATCCAGCACAGCACTGACTCGGGCATCCAGAGGACACAGGCGGAAGTTCAAGCGCAAGTGCTTTCAGGCCTGCAAGCAGGAAACAGCTCCCGAGCTCCCGAGCTCCCGGGCCACAGTGTGGAAACCCATTTCCAGGGATCCTGTGAGACTGGAATAACTAGATCCGCCGTTTCTGAAAGAGCAAGCTGACCTGAAAGGCGTCCTTGTGCTGGGACCTTTCTCAGTTCCTTTCATTTAGAAAAATAAAGACAAGGGGCTGCTCCCAGCAAGAACCGAGCCACACGCATGCAAGCTGAGGCTCCTGCGGAGGAGGCAGCTGGAGTAACGGCTCGGGAGGCGTGGGGGGAGTCCACTCCGACCGCGACTGCGCCCAGGGGAGGCGCTGTCCTCGCTTCCCCTGCAGGGAGAGTCGACCTGATTCTGCCAGCCGACTCGCGGCCTCTCCACTGCCACACACAGCTGCAGGGCAAGAGCCGTCAACTTGACTTATCCAGGAGCTGCAAATTAGCTCCCGGATAAAGCCCAGATCCAGCAATAGACAAGGAGTCATTCCACAGCTGCACTCACGTGGCTGTTTAAGGGCTCCTTCAGTAATGTGATGGGAGAGCAGTCTTGTCTGTTTCGTATCCATCAGGAACAACAAATTTATTTCTGATTTTACAAGAAGAGACTCAGGAAACCTCTCGAGTTCAGCTGACCATGTCGGCTGTTGCATGAGAGGACATCATCTTTCATACCCCTGTCCTGCCTGCACACCCCTTCTCCCCCGTGGGCAGCGCCTACAGAGCTTACACAGCGGGTCAGAGCCGTTCCCTTCCTTGGGCTCTCTGATGACACAGTGCAAACAATAGCACATACCGGAGCACTGCCTCTCCATGAACTGGGTCGGGCGAAATGGATTCCCCATCACTTATTTATCAGAAGACTGCTGTGTGCTGCCCTTTCTCTCTGGCCGAGCCACCTGATTGGCTCCCAGGAACTTTCACCCTGACGCCCACAGCGTGAGACACTGGGGTTTCTGGCTTTAGAAACCGAAAGGTCAGCCACACATCCGGAACCTGTCTGATCTGCAGAAAATGGCTTTCAGACACTAGCAGGCTCTTCGATTGATGAAAAAGCACATCAGTCATTGAGCAGGTACTCTGTAGGATAGCACGGCAATCAAAATGAAATGTTTGTGAAAAAAAACTCTAATTTCCTGTTCTTTTTTTTTTAATTTGTCCATTACCTGGGAATGGCTGTGTCTCTGTGGACCCGTTCACCAGCAGCCCCAGTGCCCCAGTCCAGCCCAGACTGGAGAGAGGAGGGGCAGCACTTTTCCCACACAGGAGGCACAAGACACACAAAACCGCTGTGGAGCTCAGAAGAATGTGGCCACTGTGGGGTCGGAGAAGCCCAGCACTCCTGCCAGGCTCCGCGGAGATAGAAGCTGCCCCCTCTGCAGCCTGAACTCATGCTCAGTGGTGCTCATGCTTATGGAAACTTCAGAAATATCATTTCTCACTCATACAGGGCAAGTGGCATTTGTAAAAACAATCTCTTTACCGAGCACTTCTTACAAGGGCAATGAACAAACTCTCCTGATCACTCCATTCTAAACCGATTTCTGAAGCCTTAGACAATTAAACAACAAGTCTGATTCTATTTCTATTTACCATATATAATATTAAATAGAAATACATACATATTAGAACTGTGTATTCTACTCAGATTCTAGAAACATTCTGCACACTGACAGGCATTTAGACTTCAGCAGAGAAAACGACAAGGGGACTTTATTCAAGAATTCAAAATACTCGAAGGCATTGATAAAGTCAACCCAGTCGCCTTCTTCAGAGTAAACAGTGGAACACAAGTGGAAACTATGTGGAAGATCATTTCAAACTGAGAACAAGAGGCACTTTCTTACACATAGTGCTGCATGAGCCTGGAACAAGCCAGCCAGTCATGTTTGTCGTGTTGTGGCCTCTCTTCGGTTCTCATTTGTGAAGGGAGATTCAGAAGAAAAAACACAAAGAAAAACATCAGATTAGCAGAGTCAGAGCTCATGTTTTCTGTCATTCTTGCCCAGAGCAGGAAGGTCAGTGGTATAAATCAGTGAGACTGGGCAAGGTGCAGAAAACTGGTCCTCTGCACAGGACGTCCCTGCACCCCAGTAAACCAGCACCCCAACACCCCTGCACCTCAGCTCCCTCACACCCCAGCACCCCAACACTCCTGAACTGGGCACAGCTCAGCTCAGAGAGCAGGACCTGGCCCTGTCGTGGTTCACACATTACCTACACATGCAAATAGGAAAACAGGGAACACAAGGAGCAAAAACATCTCAAACTCATTTAAAATACAGGACAGATTTAAACCGTAACAGTGTCAAAACCCCTTTCCTGCAAATTACATGCACGACAGAAATGATTGCTTGATTCCAGCAGTCCCCTCTCCACCCCTCCCCCCTTCATAATTGCTGACACCAGTAAAACCAGACCAGGGCAGATTGGATTTCTCTCATGACAACAACAGGAGCACGTTCTTCAGATCGCAAGAGAACACAAGTTCCGTGAAAGTTGGACAACGTCCCTTTTCCAGTGTGCTACACTGTCAACGCTAGCTCACAGCATGAAGAAACCGAATCAGACTCCCCGCCTGCTATAAGCAGAGAGCTCATATTGGTCTAATCCTCTGTGTGAGCCTCTTCTCCTCACACCGCGCAGGTTTGCTCTGCTATGCTCGAGGAACGAGCTTGTCTGTAGATGCCTGTGTTGAGCTGACCATCGCCTTGCCCAGAACATACCCACTGGCCAGCCCTTCCACTCTGAGGGTAAAAGTCTGAGCCCATCGCAGAGGAGCTGAAATTCTCTGCGTAGATAGAAGTGAGAGGGAAGGGTGTGTGAGAATTGCAGTCAGCAAATCTGGTATAAATGGTCTTAGCAGAAAATAAGAGACGCAGCGAAGGAGGCTGGGAGCCGCAGAGAGCGAGGTGGGAGGAGAGGGTGAATGAAGGTTGTGCTGAACGGGCGCAAAGGAGTTGGATTACATAACAGCTCCTGAATGAACTGCACTGAGCCCCTGGTCATGAATACTGATGTGTGGAGGTGCTGCCAGGCTGTGTCTCTGCAGGAGAGGGAGGGACCTGTGGGCCTTCAACCACAAGAGGGGGCCTGGTCACCCCTTGCACTTAATCACAGTCACAGCTCAGCAGCGCCCCCTCCAGTGACCCTCCATCTCTCACAGGCTGATCTCTTCCTCTTCTCGTTTGTGTGGTTTCTCTGACCAGATTTAAATCTTCACTGTGAATAAGTTGCAAAGGAACAAGCTGTCGCAAATTCTGCAGCTGAAACCTTGTGTATTTGACTCTCTGTGCATGTCAGTGTGGAATAAGCCTCGAATTCCATGCGCAATTGTCAGTGACTTCATATCTCCAGCAAGGAACCTTCGATGTATTCAATCAATTGTTACTGTTGAGCGATGCTGCAAAATGTTTTAATAGTTCAAGCAGGGAGCTGCATCAGCATGCATAGGCTACAAAGGAAAAAGTAATGGTCTATTCCATGCAATAAAGAGGAGAAAAGAAACACAACATTTATGCTATATGTTCGACAATATAATATTTTTATAGTACTTGCTTCAAACCAGACAGGACCGTTCCCCGTGCACAGAGGTGTCTCACTCCTGTAATCTTTTGCTATTTCACTCACAGATACAGAGCAAGCATTCTTTTTCAGGCTTTCTTCTTTATATTTAACATGCTTTTACCAGCAATTTAGATTTGCCTGCTGCTCATTGAGCCTCTGAACAAGGCACACAGTCCCAGCTGTCCGCCCAGCACCTCCCCTGGCTCAAGACTGA